TTTTTTTTTTTTTTACTTTGTATTTTATGTAATGCATATCAAAATTTGGATACTAACTTTTTTATTTTCAAAGCATTTCGAAATTTATATACTAACTTTTATTATTATTATTATTAGGAATCTGATTTCATGACACTATTGCTTAGGGAAGATAACGACAATGGGGAGGTAATATATTTTATTACTTATGTTTTATTTCATTTTATTTTATTTTTTTTTTTGAATTTAATGGTATATTATTTTATATGTAGGATGCGGCTATTGAGGATGAAATTACAAGCCCCATGAAAGTTGTTCAACAAGTTTATTCTGTTGGTGAATCATCAAGTGTGAAACGCAAGCTTTGGGAGGAATTGGATGAAGAAGAAGAAGAAATGGTTGTTTTTGCCGATTCCACACCTATTAACAAGGGGAGAGCTAAAGATTTTGATGAGTCCACACCTATTAACAAGGGGAAAGCTAAAGTTTTTGATGAGTGACGAGGAGTATTTGGCGCATTACTATTATAGCTATTATTATGTTTTTTATTAAATGATTATTTATTTGGATTTTCGTTGATTAAGGATTATTTATTTGGATTTTCAGTTAATTATTAGTATTTGGTTTATGGTTTATTTGGATTTTCGTTGATTAAGGTTATATAAATAAAATAAATGGGAGCATTTATCTTCCATTTTTTATGACATACGCGAATTGTCTTTTTGTCCTACCACATTATTTGTTTTGTTATCCATTTAGTGCAATTAATAACAGATATACACGAATAGCACAAAGAACTATAATATAGGATTAAACATTAATCCGTAAAAATGAATCGGATGTTGTTTACTTTATGTCGCTAATATTTGATCAAACAATAAAAGATATATAATTACAGGATAACCATAATATTGCTTTTATTTATCTGTTAAAAATTAATTACCAGTTTAGTTTTTATAATGATTTCATAATTATCAAACAGTATAACACAGTTATCAAAATGAATGCGCATCCCGCATTCTGTTTTAACAAGCATTAGAATTGATTATTTTTTTATATATAAGAGATGAAAAGAACGTGCACTGTGATTCGTAGAATTGAGGACATACTTTTATAGTTATCGAATTTATTAAAATAATATATGCTATAATAATAATACTAATAATGATAATAATAATATTTAATTATTGTTATTCTTTCGATGTGATGTGATTATGTAAATAAAAAACTTAATTAATCTAAACGACTTCTGATTCGTTTAGAAATACGTGTGATTAAAAATATAGCCATGCAATATTCACATAAATTTTTTACCAAATAAGACGCCTTTTCTGATTTGTTTACATAATTTTTCATCCCAGATACACTATATATACGATCATTTTAATATATCATCAATACATTATATAAAACCAAACTTATTTTGTTACGTTTATTACTTATATAGAATCAATATTAGTTAAATATATACACGATATGTACAATCATTATGTATATTTATTTGGATATGCATAGAGATACGTGTGATTATAAGAAAATTTTGGATAGATATGAAGCCGCAACTGTTGACTACATTCCTTTTATTTAGATATTTATTTATATTAGGTAGATATACGTGTGATTAAATATAGGCATGCAATATTCACATATATTTTTTTAAAAACAAGACGTCTTTTCTGATTTATTTACGTAATTCGCGATTCCAAACAAAGTACAAAATATACATTCATTTTAATTTAACATTAATATATTATATTCCCAAATTTATTAAATAGATCCAAA